TTGTTTCCTCTCTGGAGTTTCCCTGTGTTTGAGTGTTGTTTTGCTGTTATAATTTTAGAATTTTTTTTAATGCTGGTAGCCAGATTTTGTTCATTTTCATGGTTTCCTCCTTTCTGTTGAAATTGTTCACACGCTTCTTGTGGATTTCAATAGCTTCTCTCTGTAGTCCGACATTGTGGTCCAGCATTTCTGTGTTCTTAAATAATATGCTGTGTTCAGGTTGGTTCATCATGTGCTCTGCTATGGCTGACTCCTCTGGTTGAATTAGTCTGCAGTGCCTTTCATGTTCCTTGATTCATGTTTGGGCGCTGCTATAGATGGAGCCCCTGGTGGTGCAGTGGGTTAAAGCACTGAGCTGGAGAGCTTGTTGATCGAAAGGTCGCAGGTTCAATTCCGGGGAGCGGCGTGAGCTTCCGCTGTCAGCCCTAGCTTCTGCCAACCTAGCAGTTCGAAAACATGCAAATGTGAGTAGACCAATAGGTACCGCTCCGACGGGAAGGTAACAGCGCTCCATGCAGTCATGCCGGCCACATGTCCTTGGAGGTGTCTACGGACAACGCTGGCTCTTCGGCTAAGAAATGGAGATGAGCACCACACCCCAGAGTCAGACATGACTGGACTTAATGTCAGGGGACTACCTTTACCTTTACCTTATAGATGCAGGCGAAATGTCAGGAGAGAATGTTTCTGGAACATGGCCATACAGCCCAGAGTGTGGCAGAGGCTCCTGCTTTGGTTAGACCACACCTGGAATATTGTGTCCAATTCTGGGCACCACAAATGAAGGGAGATATTGACAAGGTGGAATGTGTCCAGAGGAGGGCGACTAAAATGATCAAGGGTCTGGAGAACAAGCCCTATGAGGAGCGTCTTAAGGAGCTGGGCATGTTTAGCCTGAAGAAGAGAAGGCTGAGAGGAGATAAGATAGCCATGGATAAATATGTGAGAGGAAGCCACAGGGAGGAGGAGGGAACAAGCTTGTTTTCTGCTTCCCTGGAGACTAGGACACAATGGAACAATGGCTTCAAACTACAAGAGAGGAGATTCCATCTGAACATGAGGAAGAACTTCCTGACTGTGAGAGCCGTTCAGCAGTGGAACTCTCTGCCCCGGAGTGTGGTGGAGGCTCCTCCTTTGGAAGCTTTTAAGCAGAGGCTGGATGGCCACCTGTCAGGGGTGATTTGAATGCAATGTTCCTGTTTTTTGGCAGAATGGGGTTGGACTGGATGGCCCAGGAGGTCTCTTCCAACTCTTTGATTCTATGATTCTTTGGAAGCTTTTAAACAGAGGCTGGATGGCCATCTGTCAGGGGTTCTTTGAATGCAATATTCCTGCTTCTTGCAAGGGGGTTGGACTTTATGGCCCGTGAGGTCTCTTCCAACTCTGTGATTCTATGAAAACTCACAACAACACATTTTTCAGGCAGTCGCAGACACTGTTGTCCTTTTTCAACGGCCTGTTCCTTCCTTTGGGAGCTCCTGAGTGGCACGCTACACCAGAATGAAACTGTAATCCCCTGCTTTGCCTAAGTCCATAATGTGATCACTCCCTCCTGTCCCATCCAGAAAAGGTAGTCAGATCTCTCCAATCATTCTGCTATCACCTGAGAGCAGGACTTGCCGTAAGAGCGGTGGAGAAATCCTCCAGCCTCCCCGCCTCCTATCAGATGTCAGCTCTTTACCCTTTCCACCTTTCCCTTACTGGCCTCCCAGCTGTTCTCCACCCAAAGAAAAGCCTGGCAGGATTTTGGCACTCCTGTTTCACCTTCACTATCCATGCCCTGTAGTCAACATGATTCTTAACAAGAGGAACGTGCCACAAAGTTCGTGTCCTGCCAAGGAAAAGTATCTCTGCATTGCTTTATTCGACAAAGTGCAGAGTTGTGTAAATAAATCAGATTTTTTTCTCTCACTAGGTATGCATACATGCGTGTTCACATACAGTTTTATTTCATAACAGCTCTGTGAAGGGAGGTTTAGTTTCCATCCACAGGCGTCTTGCGCATAACATGTTTCAATCAGGTCCAATGCAGAAGACACAATAACATTGCAGCCAGGCAAGAGGAAAAAGAACAGAAGAGTTAAAATATAAACTTGGAATGTTGCAAACAAAAACAAACAGTGCAACAAACGTACATTGTCCTTGTAAGCAATACAGAATAAGGCTTCTTCAGCTTCCTCCAAATGAGAGAGCAGTAGAAATGGTTGAGCAAAATGCCTGAGCAAAGGCTCCTCAGAGCAAAGCCGAACTGTATTCTACTTGCTTACTTACTTTACTTAGGTGATCCCTCGTTGGACGAGTAGGATAATTTTCCAAGATTCTTGTGAGTCTGTAGGTGACTGTGGAGCCCTATTCTTGACCTGCATCATTTCCCGCAGTGAGGGCCTTGGTTTCCAAGTGGTAGGTGGTCTTGATCGGGGTTGGTTTGACGTGCCTTCCTCTTGGCACGTTTCTCTCTTTCACCCTCCATTCGTGCCTCTTCAAATTCTGCAGCACTGCTGGTCACAGCTGACCTCCAGCTGGAGCGCTCAAGGGCCAGGGCTTCCCAGTTCTCAGTGTCTATGCCAGAGTTTTTAAGGTTGGCTTTGAGCCCATCTTTGAATCTCTTTTCCTGTCCACCAACATTCCATTTTCCATTCTTGAGTTCGGAGTAGAGCAACTGCTTTGGGAGACGGTGGTCGGGCATCCGGACAACGTGGCCGGTCCAGCAGAGTTGATGGCGGAGGACCATCGCTTCAATGCTGGTGGTCTTTGCTTCTTCCAGCACACTGACATTTGTCCGCCTGTCTTCCCAAAAGATTTGCAGGATTTTCCGGAGGCAGCGCTGATGGAATCGTTCCAGGAGTTGCATGTGACATCTGTAGACAGTCCACGTTTCACAGGCATAGAGCAGGGTTGGGAGGACAATAGCTTTATAAACAAGCACCTTGGTATCCCTACAGATGTCCTGGTCCTCAAACACTCTCTGCTTCATTCGGGAAAATGCTGCACTTGAAGAGCTCAGGCGGTGTTGTATTTCGGCGTCGATGTTGACTTTGGTGGAGAGGTGGCTGCCAAGGGAGCGGAAATGGTCCCCACCAGGTGTGGTCCAAACTTACTAGTTGATCTACATTAGCAGCTGCACATAATAATTAACAGCATTGGGTTTTCTTTAACACACACACACACACACTTGATCCTGTTACGACTTACTGTAAGAAGACGGACAGAAAGAGCATGAATGTGCAAGAAGAGCACAGTGGAGATCTTAGGCCACATTTAGCTCATAGTTCCCACAACTGCCCAAAAGCTCTGATGTGTGTGTGGAGGTGTGCATATATACAACATACCACAAGTGTTGTAGCATGAGCTTGCATTCCTAAGAAATCCTGGTTCTTGGAATTTCCCAAAGTATTTAAAGTTCTATGCAAGTGAACTCTAGTATCTGCCCAAACTGCCAACTCCAGTCTTTCATCAAATGCAACCATGGCATATAGACTGGAATAATACAGTCGGGCATCAGTATCCGCTGAGGCTTGGGTACGAAACCCCTTGTGGGTATCAGAATCCTTGGATGCTCAGATTCCATTCTATACCATAGGTAAACAACTCAAAAATGGTGCTGGATTATTTTGTACCCCTAATATTTTTTCACATCGCGGTTGTTTGAATTTACTGATGCAGAACATAGATATATGTGTGTAGTCACAAACAGCTGCGGAAGCTTTCCCCCTTGGATTAAGGCAGTGCTTCTCAACCTTCCTGATGCCGCGACCCTTTAATACAGTTTCTCATGTCGTGGTGACCCCCAACCACAACATTATTTTCGTTGCTACTTCATAACTGTAATTTTGCTCCTGTTTTGAATCGTAATGTAAATATCTGATATACAGGATGTATTTTCATTCACTGGACCAAATTTGGCACAAATACCCAAACGCTCAAATTGGAATACTGGTGGGGTTGGGGGGTTATTGTTGTCATTTGGGAGTTGTAGTTGCTGGGATTTATAGTTCACCTGCAATCAAAGAGCATTCTGAACCCCACCAGTGATGGAATTGGGCCAAACTTGACACACAGAGCTCCCATAACCAACAGAAAATACTGGGTTTGGTGGGCATTGACCTTGAGTTTTGGAGTTGTAGTTCACCTACATCCAGAGAGGACTCAAACAATGATGGACCTGGAACAAACTTGGTACCAATACTCAATATGCCCAAATGTGAACACTGCTGGAGTTTGGGGGGAGATACAACTTGACATTTGGGAGATGTAGTTGTGGGATTTATAGTTCAGCTACAATCAAAGAGCATTCTGAACCCCATCAGTGATAGAATTGGGACAAACTTCCCACACAGAATCCCCATGATGAACAGAAAATACTGTGTTTCCTGATGGTCTTTGGTGACCCCTCTGACACCGCCTTGTGACCCCCCCAGGGGTCCCGACCCCAAGGTTGAGAAACACTGACCTAGAGAATCCTAGAGAGATGTGCTCACAGGTAAAAAAAGAGTATCTTGTGTTTTTTGTGTGCATATTTTCCACTTATGCAGAGGTCCTACATCTCTAGCCCCCAATGAATGTGGAGGGCTGATTGTAGTCTCCTTCAATTAATGAACAAAAATCCCTTACTGTTGACTTCACTGGTTAGTTAGGATGAAGGAGAAAGATGGAAGTTTTATGACAACTTCAAAATCTACCCAATTAAATTTTGCATGGGCTTTCTTGAGCTCACGGCCAGTTCTTCAGATACGCTGTGTCATGGCTGTAATCCAGAAAAGCATGTGCTGCAATCAGTCAGTCTCAAAGCTGTCATAAGACTCCCTGTCTTTGCCTCTGCTCTTTTAATACTGTTTGTTTACTGGTACAGTATTACCGTTTATTACTGTAGTTTTCCAAGGCCTTTAGGCAATTTTTCCTCCTATCCCTTGGATATCTTCTTTAAAAATGAACATGCCATGCATTGGCCTCCATGGCCCTTTCATATAAACACAGGGTAGCACTATTTTTGGATCATGAGACTTCAGTTATTTATTTGTTTATTATTTAAAACTTTTGTATCCCGATCTTTACCTCCGTAGATGGACTCAGACTGGCTAATAGCAAGGATTCAACGCTAACAATACAATCTGAAACATCGTACATTAACAATAAATTAAAATACATATAGACTAAAATACATAAAGGCCAGTTCGTCAAGATAAAATCATATCCAACTCAGTCCGCGTATGTGGTCAATAACTTTAGTCAATTGCCAGTCTCCGCCATCATTCTGGGAATGCCTCATTCCATAACCAGGATTTCACTAGCTTCCTGAAGGGCAGGAGGGAGGGTGCAGATCTGATCTCAATCGGGAGAGAGTTCCATAGCCTGGGGGCCACCACAGAAAAGGCCCTGTCTCTCGTTCCCACCAGACGCAATTGCGAGGATGGGGGACCGAGAGCAGGGCCCCTCCAGAAGATCTTAGCAGCTTTAATGGTTCATAGGGGAGAATACGTTCGGATAAGTAAACTGGTTGCTTTTCGGTTCCGATCCAAAGCTGAATAAAGAAACTGGGAGTTTCCCTCCTCTAGTTCAAGCTAAACTTGCTTTCTTGGCATCTTTTCTGAACCCAGGGATTAAGGGAGCCAGCGCCGTTTTCCGACGAGCTTGAGGTGGATTATAGTAAGCCGTACAGCCGGGTGACGTTTGAGGAGGCCACAAAAGGGACACCACGTAAGTAAATTCTCAAAGGAGCCTGTCTGATATTGTGCTGGGTAGGTTTACATTTTTTTCCTCCAAAAACTCCTCATCCCACCAAACTTTGCATAGCTGACCACAGAGAATGCAAACTTCCCAGCTCTTCCATAATGTTGAAGGCATATGGGGCGCATACAATATACTACTAAACAGAGGCTGGTTGGCCATCTGTCAGGGGTGCTTTGAATGCAATATTCCTGCTTCTTGGCAGAATGGGGTTGGACTGGATGGCCCATGAGGTCTCTTCCAACTCTAGGATTCTATGATCCTACTACTACTACTACTACTAGTAGTACTAATAATAATAATAATAATAATAATATTATATATTAAATGTAATATTACTAATAATTTTACAGTATAATGTTATAGTACAATGTAATATATAATATTAATATTGTGCTATGATAATAATATAATATATTGTATTTACTTTTTACTTGTAAGCTGCTCTGTGTCCCCTTTGGGGTGAGAAGGGCGGTATATAAATGTCGTAAGTAAATAAATAAATAAATATTAGCAATTGTATAGGACTGAAATTACACAAGTGTCTAGATCTAGGGAAGTCATGCTACCCCTCTATTCGCTTTGGTTAGACCACACCTGGAATATTGTGTCCAATTCTGGGCACCACAATTGAAGAGAGATATTGACAAGTGGAGAGCGACTAAAATGATCTAAAATGATCAAGGGTCTGGAGAACAAGCCCTATGAAGAGCGGCTTAAGGAGCTGGGCATGTTTAGCCTGAAGAAGAGAAGGCTGAGAGGAGATATGATAGCCATGTATAAATATGTGAGAGGAAGCCAGGGAGGAGGGAGCAAGCTTGTTTTCTGCTTCCCTGGAGACTAGTACGCGGAACAATGGCTTCAAACTACAAGAAGAGATTCCATCTGAACATGAGGAAGAACTTCCTGACTGTGAGAGCCGTTCAGCAGTGGAACTCTCTGCCCCGGAGTGTGGTGGAGGCTCCTTCTTTGGAAGCTTTTAAACAGAGGCTGGATGGCCATCTGTCAGGGCTGATTTGAATGCAACCTTCCTGCTTCTTGGCAGAATGGGGTTGGACTGGATGGCCCATGAGGTCTCTTCCAACTCTTTGATTCTATGATTATGTTTTTATAATGTAAATAATATACTACTACTAATAAAATATTATAATTATATATTTTATATTAAATGTAGTATTACTAATAATATTATAGTATAATGTTATAGTACAATGTAATATGAAATATTAATATTGTGCTATGATAATAATATAATATATTGTCTTTACTTTTTACTTGTAAGCCGCTCTGAGTCCCCTTCGGGGTGAGAAGGGCGGCATATAAATGTCGTAAATAAATAATAAATAAAATAAATACGGTTGAACGCAGGTTGCCCAGGTTTCTATGGAAAGCCAGGAAGAACAAATCATCCCTACAGTTTTCTGAATACCTTGCTGTTGGCCTAATTAGTTGGTTACACTACAGGTTGTGTATTCCTTCTCCAGAATGCTTGGGACCAGAAATGTTTTGGACTTTTTTTTATTTCGAGTATCTCTTTTTTTCCATATATATTCATAATAAGATGCATTGGAAATATCCATGCAGCCAGGATATAATTTTGCACACGATGTTTGTCATCATTTTGAGTAGGAGGCAAAATTTGTTATGTCCCAGAACAATTTGAGGTAAAATTTCCCTTCCCTGTCATGTATCAATCAGAAATGGCAGGACTTCTGTTCGCCAACTGGGTCACCTCGCCTTGACCCAGCCCCACCTTCACAATGGAAGCCGTCAAATCCCCGTAATCTCTCTCCTAGTTGGTGCAAGGCCATCAGGGGTGAGTCTGAGACCTTTCGCAATCAGGCATTGCTTTCCGCAAGGAGGATGAAAGCAAAAGGGCTTCAACAAGAGCAGATTTCCCCCAGTAACTGAGAGCAGCTAGCTAGTTTTCTTCGTAAACACAAAGCATTCTAGGTTCTTGGAGCAGGCATGGGCAAGGAATTGTGGGAGTTGAAGTCCAAAACACGTGTAGGGCCGAAGTTTGCACATGGCATTATATTTGGGGGCATGATAGTTGGCCTCCAACTGTCCACCAAGTCTATCCAAGGGATGTGGGTAACAATTTCCTATGTGTTTCAGTCAACTTCTGGTTGGAAGAAATGTCTCTCTTTGGCCTGAAACGGATGGGAGGGAAGGACATGAAATGAAGCAAAATGAGAAATACAAGAGATGGCTTTCATGTTTACAAACATTACCCCAGTCCACATAGGGAGAAACGTAATGTGAGAGGGAATGGTCCTTGTTTACTTCTCCAAGAAGGAAATGTGAGAAGCCTCCGCCCTCTTGTTGGGCACATGACGTGCTGCTCCTCTTGCAGAGAACCTGGCTCTCTTCAATGTTTGGGTCTTGGGAAGGTATTAACGTTGTCCTGAAACCAAAGAGTTCCGTGTGCATCACTTGAATCGCTTCTAACTCAGTGCTAAAATTTGGGGAAAGCATACAATTGACTCAATGCTACAAGGGACTTACGAGCATGTTAGAGAAAACACTTTTCCCTAGTGAAATGGTAGATGTGTATTCTCTGATTATGGGGGTCTTATAATAATAGAATGATTGACAATTGGAAAATAGAGGGGGGAAACGTAGAGGCAGTGACAGACTTTGTATTTCTAGGTGCAAAGATTACGGCAGACGCAGACTATAGCCAGGAAATCAGGAGACGCTTCCTTCTTGGGAGGAGAGCAATGTCCAATCTCGATAAAATAGAGATGTATGGCCATGGTCTAGAGGCATTCTCTCCTGACATTTCGCCTGCATCTATGGCAAGCATCCTCAGAGGTAGTGAGGTCTCTACCTCACTACCTCTGAGGATGCTTGCCATAGATGCAGGCGAAATGTCAGGAGAGAATGCCTCTAGACCATGGCCATACAGCCCGAAAAAACCTACAAGAACCCAAAGGTGGCATTATTTCGGCCGTCTCTGTGAACAAGTTTCAGATTATGGAGTATTTCAGATTCCAAACCAGGAGTGCTTAACCTGTATCGGAAAATGGTATTTTTTTCCTTCTTTGGAGGACTTTACTCAGAAGTTAGATGACCATGTATTAGGTGTGTTTTAACTGTATCCCTTCATGCTTGGGAATGAACGAAGTGTTGCTCCTGGGATTCTGTGACTTGTCTGTTTTGTTTTTCCTTTGTAGCAGACAGGCCTGTCAGGGTTTATGCAGATGGCATTTTTGACCTTTTCCATTCCGGACACGCCCGGGCCCTGATGCAGGCGAAAAACCTCTTCCCAAACACATACCTCATTGTGGGAGGTAGGTAAAGTTCACTGCAACATTTGCAACACTTTCTGTAATTCCTTGTTATTGAAGTCAGCTGAGGCTGTTCCTTGGGGCTGCCATGAGAACTGTGGGGTTCCCCCTTCTCTTGGAGAGGCAAATGGCTTCAAAATAGTCAAAGGTTTGGAAGGGAAGCCCTCTGAGGAATGGCTGAGGGAGCTGGATCTGTCTAGCAACGGGAAGAGAAAGCTGAGAGAAGGGAACATGAGAGCCATGATTAAATATTTGAAAGGATGTCCCGTTGAGGAGGGAGCAAGCTTATTCTTCTGCTGCTCTGGAGCGTAGGACACAATGGAGCAATTGGCAAAGAGACTCCATGTAAACATTAGGAAGAACTCCCTGATGGTAAGAGCTGTTTGACAATGGAATATGCTGCTGTTTGGGAGTCTGGTGGTCTTCTCTGGAGGCTTGAAAGCAGAGGCTAGATGGTCTTCTGAGAGGAATGCTTTGGTTATGTCTTCCTACATGGGAGACAGGGGTTGGTCTGGATGGCCTTTGGGGTCTCTTTCAACTCTACAGTTCTACCATTAAGGCACCAAGCAATAGCCCAAAACAAGACCCAAAGTTTACCAAAACTTTGGGCCTCGTTAATTCAGCCCAAATGTGCAGTATACATAGTTTAAAAAAAACTTTGTAAACCTTTAAAATCTGTTTTGAACTTGTGATGTTAAATAAGGGTTTGATTAATTAATTTTTAATTTGAAGCTTGTTATAATAATTTTTTTACTCCACTCTGAGATATTTGATACGGTGCAGGGAATAAATACTTTGAGAAATAAAATGAATAAATATACACCCGTTTGTGTATTTTTATTGCTCCTGTCCTCATCATTGATGCTTGAAGCTCGGGTGTCTGAAGTAGCTGGGAGGACCTTTGCACAGTTAAAACTGGTGCAATTGCTGCAACCGTACCTCAAAAAGCCTGACTTGGCCATGGTGGTGCATGCCTTTGTTACACCCAGAATGGACTGCTGTAATGCACTCTATGTGGGGCTGCCTTTAAAGATGGTTCAGAAACTGTGGTTAGTGCAAAGGTCGGCTGCCAGATTACTAACTGGGGCTAACTGTAGGGATCATATCATGCCCCTGCTAAAACAGCTCCACTGGCTTCTGACAAGTTTCTGGGCTCAATTCAAGCTGCAGGTTATCACCTATAAAGCCCTATATCTTCGAGACCACATCTCTTTCTACAACCCGGCACAGTCTTTGAGATGGACAAGGGAGGCCCTTCTCTCGGTCCCACCATTGTCTCAAACACAGTTGGTGAGAGCAGTACGTGTGAAAAAGATCTTGGAGTCCTCGTGGACAACAAGTTAAACAGGAGCCAACAATGTGATGTGCCGGCAAAAAAAGCCAATGGGATTTTGGCCTGCATCAATAGGAGCATAGTGTCTAGATCTAGGGAAGTAATGCTACCCCTCTATTCTGTTTTGGTTAGACCACATCTGGAATATTGTGTCCAATTCTGGGCACCGCAATTCAAGAGAGATGTTGACAGGCTGGAGTGTGTCCAGAGGAGAGCAACTAAAATGATAAAAGGTCTGGAGAACAAGCCCTATGAGGAGCGGCTTAAGGAGCTGGGCATGTTTAGCCTGCAGAAGAGAAGGCTGAGAGGAGATATGGTATCCATGTATAAATATGTGAGGGGAGGTCATACGGAGGAGGGAGCAAGCTTGTTTTCTGCTGCCCTGGAGACTAGGACGCAATGGAACAATGGCTTCAAAAAACTACAGGAAAGGAGATTCCACCTGAACATTAGGAAGAACTTCCTAATTGTGAGAGCTGTTCAGTGGTGGAATTCTCTGCCTTGGAGTGTGGTGGAGGCTCCTTCTTTGGAGGCTTTTAAACAGAGGCTGGATGGCCATCTGTCAGGGGTGATTTGAATGCAATGTTCCTGCTTCTTGGCAGAATGGGGTTGGACTGGATGGCCCATGAGGTTTCTTCCAACTCTTTGATTCTATGAGTCTATGGTGGGGACGAGAGAGAGCGCCTTCTAGGTGGTGGCTTCCTGGCTCCGGAACACCCTCCCAAAAGAGATTAGGTTAGCCCCCACCCTTGAATCTTTCCAATCCAGCCTAAAAACATGGGTTTTAAAGCATGCTTTTGACCTCAAGCTGAAATGGGCCCACATGAGGTTGACACTCTAACACTTTAGTTGTGAATTGATGGCAGCTAGTTTTACTTACAGATGGTTTGTGTTTTAAAACTGTGCTATGTTATTTAGATTATATGTGTTGATAGTTGTTGTTTTTTTATAATTTTATTTGATATTGTTTTATACTCATGTGTCATTTATGTTATATACTGCACCTTGGAGTGCCTTTGTAAGCCACCCCAACTCCTCTTGGGGAGATGGTGGCAGGATATAAATAAAATTATTTCTTTATTTGTTTATTTATTTGTGCTTCCATGACCACAGTCTGCAGCGACGAACTAACGCACAACTTCAAGGGTTTCACGGTGATGAACGAAGCTGAGCGCTATGACGCCGTGCAGCACTGCCGCTACGTGGACGAGGTGGTGAGGAACGCGCCCTGGACGTTGTCGCCGGAGTTTCTCGCCGAGCACAGGGTAAAATGGCCCTTTTGCCTTAGCCCTTCTCTCCAATGGCATTTCATGCTGAGATACTCACCCCTTGGATGACCAGCAGAGATCAACACTGGTGTTGTTACGCCATCGAGTCCATTTTTATTAACTCCCTGAGGCCTGATTGATTTCATAAAGCTTGGTTTCCAAACCTTTGATCATTTTGATCTCTTTGCTCTTGACACATTCCAGCTTGTCCATCTCCTTCCTTGAATTTTGGTGCCCAAAACCGGAGATAGTTTTCCAGGGTTTTTTCTTGTGTGTCAGGAGCGACTTGAGAAACTGCTGGTGTGAAAGAACTGGCCATCAGCAAGGACGTTGCCCAGGGGACGCCCGGATGTTTTGACGTTTTACCATCCTTGTGGGAGGCTTATCTCATGTCCCTGCATGGGGAGCTGGAGCTGACAGAGGGAGCTTATCCATGCTCTCACCAGGCTTGAACCTCCGACTTGTCGGTCTTCAGTCCTGCCGGCACAAGGGTTTAACCCATTGCGCCACTGGGGGTGCCAGGTGACATTTTATCATGAGTGCTTTTTAGAATAATAGAATCCTAGAATTGGATGAGACCTGGTGGGTCACTCAGTCCAACCCCTTTCTGCCAAGAAGCAGGAAAATCGCATTCAAAGCACCCCCGACAGATGGCCATACAGCATCTGTTTCAAAGCCTCCAAGGGACATATTGTTGAAGGCTTTCATGGCTGGAATCACTGGGTTGTTGTAGGTTTTTTCGGGCTATATGACCATGGTCTAGAGGCATTCTCTCCCGACGTTTCGCTTGCAAGCATCCTCACTACCTCTGAGGATGCTTGCCATAGATGCAGGCGAAACGTCAGGAGAAATGCCTCTAGACCATGGTCATATAGCCCGAAAAACCCACAAGAACCTTTAAAATGTTATTTGTTTGTTTATTTACAGTATTTATATTCCGCCCTTCTCACCCCAAAGGGTAAACACATATACAGCAAACATTCAATGCCAATTATACAATGACAAGGCAGACAACAGATAGAGGTGTGTATATATATAGACTATTTATTTATTTATTTATTTATTTATTTACAGTATTTATATTCCGCCCTTCTCACGCCACAAGGGATTACAATGCACATATACCTGGCAAACATTCAATGCCATTTAGACATACAACATATATAGACAGAAACAACGGCATTTAACATTCCAGCTTTCTGGAATGTTAAACGAGGATATGCTCAATTTATTTATTTTATTTATTTATTTCGAACATTTTTACCCCGCCCTTCTCAACCCCTGGGGGGACTCAGGACGGCTTACAATTGGCAATAATTCAATGCCACATCATAAAATACAGAATAACAAATATAACAATTATACATGAACATTAATAAATAAAGATTAAAACAGTATACTTACACTCTGATTAGCTATTGCCCGTCTGGTGGCTGTTTAGCTAGCCATCTACTAATGATTACTCCACTTAACTTATCCAAATCCTCTTCCATGCCATAGTCAAACATTATCAATTGTCCTTTAACCTGATTGCCCGAAGGCCTGGTCCCACAGCCACGTTTTAACCTTTTTTCTAAAGGTGAGGAGGGATGACGATGACCTAATTTTCCCGGGGAGCAAATTCCACAGGCGGGGGGCCACCACCGAGAAGGCCCTGTCCCTCGTCCCCACCAAGCGTGTTTGAGACAAAGGGCCTCCCCAGACAATCTTAAGCTCCGAGGTGGGACATAGAAGGAGATACGTTCGGACAGGTACGCTGGACCGGAGCCGTATAGGGTTTTATAGGTCAATTCTGGCCACAGGGGGAGCTGCCGCTTCACCGTCCACTTGTGACACTGCATCATTGATGGAGTACTTCCCCATTCTTCTGCACGCTGCTGGAAAGTTTTATGGTGTACATTAGTTAAATCTTTTGGAGGCTGTGCTTGGTTGACGTCACATGCAACTCCTAGAACGACTCCATCAGCGTTGCCTCCAAAAATTCTTGCAATTCTCTTGGGAAGACAAGCAGACAAATGTCAGCGTGCTGGAAGAAGCAAAGGCCACCAGCATTGAAGTGATGCTCCTCTGCCATCAACTCCGCTGGACTGGACGTTGTCCGGATGCCCGACCACCGTCTCCCTAAGCAGTTGCTCAACTCCAAACTCAAGAATGGAAAGCGGAATGTTAGAGGACAGGAAAAGAGATTTAAAGATGGGCTCAAAGCCAACCCTAAAAACTCTGGCATAGACACCAAGAACTGGGAAGCCCTGGCCCTTGAGCACTCCAGCTGGAGGTCAGCTGTGACCAGCAGTGCTGCAGAATTTTAATGGAGGGTGAAAGAGAGAAACATGCCAAGAGGAAGGCACATCAAGCCAACCCTAACCAGAAGTCAGCTGTGACCAGCAGTGCTGTAGAATTTGAAGAGGCACGAATGGAGGGCAAAAGAGAAAAACGTGCCAAGAGGAAGGTGCATCAAGTCAACCCCGAGCAGGACCGCCTTCCATCTGGAAACCAATGCCCTCACTGCAGGAGAAGATGCAGATCAAGAATAGGGCTCCACAGTTACCTATGGACTCACCGCCAGGACTCACCGATCTTGAAAGACAATCCTACTCAGACAACGAGGGATCGCCTAAGTAAAGTAATGTAATGTAATCCATTCATTCAACATGCATATTCATCTCAAGAAAAGACAAACATCCTGAGCTCTGATGATCACCTGGGAAGGAATCCCACTGGAGCATTGCAACACACCCAAATACCTGGGAGTCACTCTGGACCGTGCTCTGACCTACAAGAAGCACTGCCTGAATATCAAGCAAAAAATGGGTGCTAGAAACAATATCATACAAAAGCTTTCTGGCACAACCTGGGGATCACAACCAGACACAGTGAAGACATCCGTGCTTGCGTTATGCTACTCTGCTGCTGAGTACGCATGCCCAACGCTAAAACAGTGGATGTGGCTCTTAATGAGACATGCCGCATTATCATGGGGTGTCTGCGCCCTACACCACTGGAGAAATTACACTGCTTAGCCGGCATTGCACCACCTGACATCCACCGGGAAGTAGCAGCCAATAGTGAAAGGACCAAGGCAGTGACGTCTCCAGCCCATCCCTTGTTTGGGTATTAGCCAGCACGTCAACAACTTAAATCAAGAAATAGTTTTCTAAGATCTACAGAGACACCCGCTGGAACACCTCAGCAATCGAGAGTCCAAAAGTGGCAGGCTCAAACCAGAACCTGAATCAATGGCTGATACCCAATGAGAGACTCCCCCCTGGGCACACAGAAAACTGGGCGACTTGGAAGGCGCTGAACAGATTGTGCTCTGGCATCACGAGATGCAGAGCCAACCTCAAGAAATGGGGTCACTAAGTGGAATCCATGACATGCGAGTGTGGAGAAGAGCAAACCACGGACCACCTGCTGCAATGCAACCTGAGCCCTGCCACATGCACAATGGAGGACCTTCTTGCGGCAACACCAGAGGCACTCCAAGGGGCCAGATACTGGTCAAAGGACATTTAATCCACTACCAAGATTGCAAACTCTGTGTCTTTTGTATGTTTGTTTTCTTGTTCTGTCAAAAATGTAATACAACTGTTCAGTTGCCTGACACGATAAATAAAAATAACATGCATACTCACCATCCTTCTCCATTAAGTTCATCAGGCTGTTAGGAGAAAGGAGGCGGGTGGACAGGCTGCATTCCTCACAGATCTGCCACAGTTTCCAAGAGCAGTGTTTGCTGTTGTTGTTTCTTGACTGCTTGGCAACTTGTTATTCAGCTAAGACTTGCTGACACTTTGTCAATTCCATACTAATGTTGTTTTTCTTCCTTAACGTAAGGAGGCATTGTTTCTGACTTCCTTAACTTAATGAATAATTTTCTCTGACCATGTAAACATGTGTTGTTTACACCAAAAGTTCCCAGGTCAGTTATGTCAGTTCAGCAGTTTGTCATTCCAAAGGTAATCAGATCTTCACCTCCTCCACAATGCCATTTGTTTTGATTTTAGGGTGGTATCTTCAGTCTTGCCAAGCCTTAGTAGGCCTTCAGCCAGACCACAATCATACATTTTCATTCATTCCATTCATCACAATCTGAACAATCCGAGGATGCTTGCCATAGATGCAGGCGAAACGTCAGGAGAGAATGCCTCTAGACCATGGCCATATAGCCCGAAAAAACCTACAACAACCCAATTTAGGTACTGCTTATACAGGAGGCTAATTTAACTAATTTAAGACGCCATAAATTTAACTAATTCACGACACGTGCAAAAAGAATGAGGAAGTACTCCATCGGTGTCACAAGTGGATGGTGAAGCGACAGCTCCCCCAGTGGCCGGAATTCAAAAAGCATATCCTCATGAACCTGGAAAGTTAAATAGCCTCTGTGTGTCTGTCTGTATATGTTGTGTGTCTATGACATTGAATGTTTGCCATGTATATGTACATTGTAATCCGCCCTGAGTCTCCTGCGGGGTGAGAAGGGCAGAATATAAATGCTGTAAATAAATAAATAAACAGAACTCCCATGTCCAACAAAAAATGCTGGAAGGGTTTGGTGGGCATTGACCTTGAGCTTTGGAGTTGTAGTTCACCTACATCCAGGAAGCACTGCAGACTCAAACAATGATGGATCTGGACCAAATCTAGCACAAATACTCAATATGCCCAAATGTGAACACAGATGGAGTTTGGGGAAAATAGACCTTGACATTTGGGAGTTGCAGTTGATGGGATTTATAGTTCACCTACAATCAAAGAGCATTCTGAGCCCCACCAACAATATAATTGAACTAAGCTTGACACACAGAACTCCCATGACCAACAGAAAATACTGGAAAAGTTTGGTGGGCAGTTACCTTGAGTTTTGGAGTTATAGTTCACCCACATCCAGAGAGCACTGTAGACTCAAACAATGATGGATCTGGACCAAACTTGGCACAAATACTCAATATGCCCAAATGTGAACACAGATGGAGTTTGGGTAAAACAGAGCTTGACATTTGGGAGTTGTAGTTGATGGGATTTATAGTTCACCTACAATCACAGAGCATTCTGAACTCTACCAACAATGGAATTCAACCAAATTTGGCCCACAGAACTCCCAGGCCTAACAGAAAATACTGGAAGGATTTGGTGAGCATTAACCTTGAGTTTTGGAGTTGTAGTTCACCAACACTCAGAGAGTACTCTGTATCAAACTGGTGATGGAATTAGTAAACTTGTCTCAGAAACAGCCCTCCCCTTGGCTGAGAAGGTGGCTGAGAGGGTGGCCAGTCTCAACAGAGGAGGGCTTTTGGTGGGAGAATTCGCCGTCTATTTACAAAAAGGAAGAGAAGGTCATGTGGAGAGATCTTCAACCTTCTCTGCCAAAGTAAGACCATCAGAAATACGTGTTTTCTGATGTTCTTTGGTGACCCCTCTGAAACTGCTCTTGTGACCCCTGCCCCCCAGGTTGAGAAACGCTGTCTTAAGTTGTTGTAAGAGGTTTGACACTGTTTTTCTTGTCAAATTATTTTCCTTATCCTTGCTCCTAACTTCACAAACCCTTTGAATGATTCTCGACTCTTCGACCAAACGTAGGACCCTCAACTCTGCCTTCACCGATGTTTTCTGTTCCTCTCAATGACTTTGTCTTTTTGCTAAACCTGCAGATTGACTTTGTTGCCCACGACGACATCCCCTATTCCTCTGCTGGCAGCGATGACGTCTACAAACATATAAAAGAAGCAGGTGAGTTTGTGGCTGCCGTTTGTCCCCTGTGGGCATATTCCTTCATGGCTGGTATTTTACATGGGTGTGATCCAAAGATTTTGTTTGATCCATGGGCTGCATTTCACTCACCTTTAATGGAGAGAGTGATCTGAACCCTTCAAAAGAGCAGTGGAAAAGTTAAAGTTTGTTTTAAAGTCAAGACATCCTATCCACAAACCTTGTATCTCAATCCAAACTGCATTCTCCTGACTCAACAGAACAAACTGTAGCCTTCCAGATGTTGCTGTATTACAACTCTCATCACCTCTAGCCATGATGTCTCATAATGAGGAATTCAGGAGTTGTAGTCCAGTGTCTGCAGAGCAACATAAGATGGGGTGGGCCTTGAGTTTGACATATATGTGCCCTAAACGATAGCTGAACAGCCACCCAGTGTTTCCTCTGTGTCCTTCCGCAGGCATGTTTGCACCAACCCAGAGAACGGAAGGGATTTCCACATCGGACATCATCACCCGCATTGTCCGGGACTATGATGTTTACGCTCGGCGGAACCTGCAGAGGGGCTACACGGCCAAAGAGCTCAACGTCAGCTTCATCAATGTGAGTTTGAAGCAGGCATGGGAAAACGGGCCCTGCAGGTGTTTTGGACTTCAACTCCCAGAATTCCTAACAGCCTCAGGCCCTTTCCTTTTCACCTTCAGCCGCTTAAGCCTGAGGCTGTTAGGAATTCTGGGAGTTGAAGTCCAAAACACCTGCAGGGCCAGACTTTGTGCATGCCTGGTCCAAAGGGATAAAAGTCAAAGACACAGCCCTGTTAGCCTGGAATATCTATATGAACAGGGATCTTGTAACACCTTAGAAACCAAGAGAATGGGGTTGGTAGCAAAAGCTTTCATGTACTGAGTATACATCTCCACTGTAGGGTTGCTGCAGTTTGATCCCACGTTAACTGCCATGGGTTCACACGAGGCAGCTTCTAATGACAATAAATTAAAAACGTTTATAGTGAAATCTAAAACAGTTGGAGTTTTTTGAAAGACACCTAATAGCCTCATGCCATCAGCATTTATAATAACACTAGCTGTACCCGCTAGTGAGAAAGCAGGAGCTCTTTCTCTCCTTTCTTTATCTCCTTCTTTCCCTTTTTTTTCTTTTCTTCTCTCCTTCCTTCTCTTTCTCTTCCTTCCCTTTTCTTTCCCTTCCTCTTTCTCCCCTTTCTCCCTTCTCTACCTATTCTTGTACTGCAACTCCCAGCAGTCCTCCTGATCAATCAATCTACCTACCTATCTATCTCTATCTAATCTGTCTGTCTGTCTGTCTATCTGGAGGATTGCTGGGAGTTGCAGTCCAGGAATAGGAAATTGGAAATATGCAGGGACTGGGATGCTCTCAAAGAAATCCAAGGAGAAGAAAGCTTGCATCTTGGAAGCAGTGCATTTGGATCATCCTCCTCTCCTAAAGGGCCTGGTCTAGGGGATGCTGGGAGCTGTAGTCTAGAAGAGAGTGTGGATATGCTATTGTGTGTTTTGTTTGCCGGGGGAGTTGTTTTTGCGCATGCACTGTAGCATCTTTTTGCTTTTTTGGTTTTTTAAGTCCCTTCTGCTGTGTTTTACAGTATTTTTTATGAGTGATGGTCATTCACTGTCCTGATAGGTGTATTGTGTCCAAATTTGGTGGCAATTCGTTCAGTGGTTTTTGAGTTACGTTAATCCCACAAACTAACATTACGTTTTTATTTATATAGATCTTAATGTATTATTATTGAGTTTATTCACATGCTGAAAGATAGCTATTCTGCATTTGGTGTTGTGATTACAAATTATATGGCTTATATTATATTTAACCACAGCTTCATAGCCTTGGGAGCAGGATTCAAAAGGAATAGGTTACAACACTTTGTCTTTATGCCCTCCTAATTAATGCAGAACCTTTTTTTCGCAGGAGAAGAAGTATCATTTGCAAGAGCGCGTGGACAAGGTGAAGAAGAGGGTGAGGGACGTGGAAGAAAAGTCCAAGGAGTTTGTCCAGAAAGTGGAGGAGAAAAGCATTGACCTCATTCAGAAATGGGAAGAGAAATCCCGCGAGTTCATCGGCAACTTCCTGGAGATGTTTGGCCCAGAAGGAGCCCTGGTAAGGAGGCCGGAGGAGGAGGAGGAGGAAAGGGGTGGATTGTAGTTTTGTCCAACCACTGCTGGGCTTTCTCATCACTCTTGATGTTAGGGAAGTGTCTGGCTATCATGCTTGCCATCATGGTTAATGAACACTTTGTTTGTGTGTATGTGTGTGCCTTGAAGTTGCCTGTATCAATTTACGGTGCCTTTAGGGCTGTTAGGAATTGTGGAAGTCCAAAACACCTGAAGGGAGGGCTGAAGTTTGCCCATGCCTACATGTAGGCCTTATTTTCTATCATAGAATCATAGAGTTGGAAGAGACCTCATGGGCCATCCAGTCCAACCTTCTACTGCCAAGAAGCAGGAATATTGCACTCGAGAGCAGTACGTGTGAAAAAGATCTTGGAGTCCTCGTGGACAACAAGTTAAACATGAGCCAACAATGTGATGTGGCGGCAAAAAAAGCCAATGGGATTTTGGCCTGCATCAAGAGGAGCGTAGTGTCTAGATCCAGGGAAGTTATGCTCCCCATGCTCTATTCCACTTTGGTTAGATCATACCTGGAATATTGTGTCCAATTCTGAGCACCACAATTCAAGAGAGATATTGACAAGCAGGAATGTGTCCAGAGGAGGGCAACTAAAATGATCAAAGGTCTGAAGACCATGCCCTATGAGGAGCATCTTAAAAAGCTGGGTATGTTTAGCCTGAAGAAGAGAAGGCTGAGAGGAGATATGATAGCCATGTATAAATATGTGAGAGGAAGCCACCGGGAGGAGGGAGCAAGCTTGTTTTCTGCTTCCTTGGAGACTAGGACGCGGAACAATGGCTTCAAACTACAAGAGAGGAGATTCCATCTGAACACGAGGAAGAACTTCCTGACTGTGAGAGCCATTCAGCAGTGGAACTCTCTGCCCCGGAGTGTGGTGGAGGCTCTTTCTTTGGAAGCTTTTAAACGGGCTGGATGGCCATCTGTCAGGGGTGCTTTGAATGCAATATTCCTGCTTCTTGGCAGAATGGGGTTGGACTGGATAGGCCATGAGGTCTCTTCCAACTCTTGGATTCTATGATTCTATATTAACTGTATTGTATTTATTGTTTTTGTTTATTGCTTTTTGTTTTTATTGATGTGTTGTTGGGCTTGGCCTCATGTAAGCCACTCCGAGACCCTTGGGGAGATGGTGGCGGGGGTATAAATAAAGTTATTATTATTATTATTATTATTATTATTATTATTACTCCACATTAGAAAGGACTTCCTGGCTATGAGAGCGGTTTAGCCATGGATCTCTCTGCCCTGGAGTGTGGTGGAAGCTCCTTCTTTGGAAGCTTTTAAACAGAGGCTGGATGGCCGTCTGTTGGGGGTGCTTTGAATGAAGTTGTCCTACTTCTTGGCAGGAGGTTGGACTAGATCAGTGTTTCTCAACCTGGGGGTCAGGACCCCTGAGGGGGTCGCGAAGGGGTGTCAGAGGGGTCGCCAAAGACCATCAGAAAACACAGCATTTTCTGATCGTCATGGGATTCCATGTGGGAAGTTTGAGCCAATTCTATCGTTGGTGGAGTTCAGAATGTTCTTTGATTGTAATGAACTATAAATCCCAGCAACTACAACTCCCAAAAGTCAAGGTCTATTTTCCCCAGGCTCCACCAGTGTTCACATTTGCGCATATTGAGTATTTGTGCCAAGTTTGGTCCAGATCCACCATTGATTGAGTCCACACTGCTCTCTGGATACAGGTGAACTACAACTCCAAAACTCAAGGTCAATACCCACCAAACCTTTCCAGTGTTTTCCGTTGGCCATGGGAGTTCTGTGTGGCAAATTGGGTTCACATCCATCGCTGGTGGAGTTCAGAATGCTCTTTGATTATAGATGAAGTATAAATCCCAGCAACTACAACTCCCAAATTACAAAATCAATCCTCCCCCAACCCCACTAGCATTTGGATGTGGTTGCATTGGGTATTTGTGCCTAGTTTGGTCCAGTGAATGAAAATACATCTTGCATATCTGATATTTACATTATGATTTATCACAGTAGTAAAATGACTGTTATGAAGTAGCAACAAAAACAATGTTATGGTTGGGGGTCACCACAACATGAGGGACTGTATTAAGGGGTCATGGCATTAGGAAGGTTGAGAACCACTGGACTAGATGGACTAGATGGCCCACGCGGTCTCTTCCAACTCTATGATTCTATGATTAATGAGGATAATGATTCCACCCGATGTCTTACTGATTCTCTGCCCTCCTTTCCTTGCCTGCCCCCCTTCCGCCCCACAGAAGCACATGCTGAAAGAGGGCAAGGGCCGGATGCTCCAGGCGATCAGCCCCAAGCAGAGCCCCAGCAGCAGCCCCACGCACGACCGCTCGCCCTCCCCGTCCTTCCGCTGGCCCTTCACCGCCAGGACGCCCCCCTCCTCCCCAACCAGCCTCTCCAGGAACAAGTCGGCGGTCGCCTACGACATCAGCGAAGACGAGGAGGACTAAGGACCCGTGTCAGGAAGAAGGGGAAGCTTCTCTTTTCCCAAAAGGCTTCGTGGGACGAGTCCCGCCTCGCAAAAGGAGCCACCAGGAAAACCCGCGCCAAGCGAGAGGTTGGGCCTGTCTCGGATGTCCGCCCCGGTGGCACCTTCCTCCCATCCTCAGGGCTCCGTTACCAGGGAGTGCGCGGTCCTACACTGCAACCCATTCTTTGCTCCCTGCTTCCATTTTATTGGTTATTCTCTCTCTCTCCCTCCCTCTCTCTCTCTCTCTCTTTCTTTGTTGGAGCAGCAGCGCATATTTTTGCATTATTTTAAACCGTCGTAAACGATTGGGGTTCAAGTTGAGCCCCTTATTTGGCAAAGCAGCAGGGCAGAGGGACCAACTTTTGAGCATCCACCCCTTTGTCTCCCCCTTTGACCCACCAGTTGGTCCTTCCATTGCAACTTTGCATGCTTTCGCCAACTAGGTCTTCCAGCTTATGTGAGGTTGAGGCAATACAAGAAAGCATTGTTTTCTCTCTTTCAGAGTAGCAACAAAAGCAAATGCATCATTTAAAACTTTCCAAAGCTGATAGCATTCAAGCTGAGGGCCTTGTTTGGCAAACCAGCAGAGCAGAGGGAGCAACCCATTCTCTGTCTCTCCCTTTGACCCACACATTGATCCATGTTTTGTAACTCTGCAAATTTTCTCCTGCCAACTAGGTCTTCCAACTTGTGTGAAAGTTGAGGCAATGCAATTTAGGCTTCATTATATAAAAATAATCCAGTAGTTTGGGACTGTGACACTCTACAAGGCTTTGGGGAAGCAGGGGTGATCACCCGGTATCCTCAAGTCGCTAGTCTCAAAGGGAGAGAGAAGTGGAAGGGGCTGCCCTTGGTAGCAATCAAATTTCCAACCTAGCAGCTCTCCTGAGTGTTTCTTTTTCCTCCATCTGGCAAAAGGAGCAGCTTTTCTTAATTCATTTCCCAAAGGCAGGCTAAGGAGAGCATTGTTAAAGCCACATTTGAGGGTGTTCATTATGAAGGAGACCACTCCTGGGATGATGCTCATGCTTTCAACTAGGGAAGAAGTAATGCTCGTTCCTGTAGAACTAGACTCTCCAACCTGGTGGTAGACTACCCATATCTCCCAACTTGGTGACCCTCCAAAGGGCTTAAATGATCAAATTTCCAACTTGGTGGCTCTCCAAAGAGGTTTGGTGGTCGCATCTTCAACTTGGTGGCCTTCCAAAGGGGTAAGGTGGCCATATCTGCAACGTGGTGGCCCTCCAAAGGGATTAGATGACCACATCTTCAACTTAATGGCCCACCAAAGGGGTTAGGTGACCACATCTGCAACTTGGTGCCCTTTTACAGTGGTTCGGTGATCACATCTTCAACTTGGTGGCCTTCAAGAGGGGTTAGGTGACCACATCTCCAACTGGATGGCCCTCCAAAGGGTTAGATTACTGATGTCTCCAACTTGCTGGCCTTCTAAATGGGTTAGGTAACCACATCTCCAACTGGATGGCACTCTGAAAGGGTTAGATTACTGACGTCTCCAACTTAGTGGCCTTCTAGATGGGTTAGGTAACCACATCTCCAACTGGATAGACCTCCGAAAGAGTTAGATAGCCCACATTTCCAACTTGGTGGCCTTCCAGAGGTGTTAGATGACCACATTTTCAACTTGGTGGCCCTCCAAAGGGGTTAGTTGACCACATTTTCAACTTGGTGGCCCTCCAAAGGGGTTAGGTGATCACATCTCCAACTTGGTGGCCTTCCAGATGAGTAGGTGACCACATCTTAAATTTGTGACCCTACAAAAGGGTTAGATAACCCACGTCTTCAACTTGGTGGCCCTCCACAGAAGTTAGGCTACTGCATCACCAATTTGGCCTTCCAGTTGCTGGCTGGGGGACTGTGGACATGGTATTCTGGACAGGGATTCCTTACATTGGAACCCACCAAGTTGGAGAAGGAGGATACATATTCAAATGTCTTCCTTTTAATTTGGCAACAGAATGGTACAGATTTCGAGACTCCTTCAAAGCAACCTCTCCTGTGTTTTTGTGTGTTTTACTTCTGGCCAAAGCCCCATGTCTTCCTTTTTCTAAGTCCCCAACTTTTGGCTGGACTCTCTACATCATCTCTCAGAACTGTCTGTCCTGAATGTTTCATCTCTGAATTGCATTCTCTCATCTTTCTGGGTCTTCTGTCTTCTTCCGCTGCTGTTTCAGATGGGCCTGCTGCCTTCCCATCTTATGGGGCAGTGAGAGGAAATGCCCTCCTTCTCAAAATGGCACCCAGTGTGCGTTGTGTCGCCAAGGTAGGGCAAATCCAGGTGGGGATGCTCCATGGCCGAATCTTGGTCTTACAAGACAGTTTCCTCACCTTTTAGGTCCATCCTGCGTTAGATGCAAATAATCCAGGGCTTTGGAGCTAGGTGCAAAGGAACCAGAACTTTTTGGACTACATCTCCCAGAGTTCCTTTAGCCAGGGGTCCTTCTGGCTGGGGGATTGTGCGAGTCCCATTCAGGAAGTACCTTTTCCAGGCGTTGGGTGTTAGCAGTGCACAAAATGAGCTTCTCCTCTTTGAGGAACTGCCCGTTCCACTGGCGCCTCTGTTCCCGTTAACTGTTGTTATTAATTGTGTAATAAACGTTGGGATTTAACTGTCTTTTCTGTCCACAAATGGGATTTCCCCCAACTCCTGCCTCTTATCTATCCTTGTTAGGTTTTGTGTGTCTTGAGCATATTTTGAGATGTCTGTCAGGGATTTATCATGACTTGCATTGTTCCAAAACTTGGTGGAGTTACATTTTTTGGGCTACGACTCTTAAAACATATCTGTCATAAACCCTGAAAGAGGGAGGACAAGGGAGTTGTAGTCCAAGAGCAAAGATATTGAGCTCTGCATTTTTCCTGCTAGGAGATCATTGCCATGAAGGAATATGGGGGCATATTATGGGATGTCTGTTTCATGGTGCAACGTGTCATTCGCCGTTAGCCTATGCATCAAGCATGGGCAAACTTGGGCCCTGTCTCCAGGTGTTTTGGACTTCAACTTCCACAATTCCTAACAGCCTACCAGCTGTTAGGAATTGTGGGAGTTGAAGTCCAACACACCTGGAGACAGGGCCCAAGTTTGCCCATGCCTGCTTTAGATAGTTCCCCCCTAATGATTGATTTCTAGACTTTCATTGCATCCAAGAGACATGTTTTGATTCTGCTGCATGACGTTTTGTGTTGCTCGGCTGACTTGCACAGCTGAATGAAAATTCACAAATATTCAAATTGTGCCCTGAGTTGCTCTTCAAAAACAACCTTTAGACAATATTGAAAGTAAAAGAAAAATGCTTTACTTCAGCAAACACAAAGGATTAGCAAATGCTACTGAAAAGTGCAAAAGAAAGCAAGGAAGTCTTCATCCAGATGCAAATTGAAATCTCTTACAAAGTCCCAAAAGAAACACCAGTCTTCCATCAGACAACGGGCAATGAACTAAGTCCTGAGCAGCAGACACAAAGCAGATTCCAGTGGAGTGAAAACATCAGTATCAGGGTCCTCGTTACCAGTGAAAGCTGACTGTTCCTGCTACTGATTTATAGCCCTGAATTTCCCACGCAGGAGGTACTAGGGCGTCTCCCAATTAGCTCAGTGTTTTTAGCAGCTATTCTAGCTGAATGCCGTCTGTGCTCTGTCTCTTTTCGTCTCTCTAGAAATGTGGGCACTTTCAAAATCTCATTGTCTGATTCTTCTTCTGCCTCCAAATCCTGAGCACTTCCCTGCCATATACTCAAATTGTGTCTTGAGTTGCCCTTCAAAAACAGCCTTTAGACAATGTTGAAAGTAAAAGAAAAATGCTTTACTTCAGCAAACACAAAGGATAAGCAAATGCAACCGAAAAGTGCAAAAGAAAGCAAGGAAGTCTTAATCCAGATGCAAATTAAAGTCTCTTACAAAGTCCCAAACAAAACACCAGTCTTCCATCAGACAGCGGGCAATGAACTAAGTCCTGAGCAGCAGACACAAAGCAGATTCCATTGGAGAGAAAACATCAGTATCAGGGTCCTCGTTACCAGTGAAAGCTGACTGTTCCTGCTACTGATTTATAGCCCTGAATTTCCCACACAGGAGGTACTAGGGTGTCTCCCAATTAGCTCAGTGTTTTTAGCAGCTATTCTAGCTGAACGCCATCTGTGCTCTGTCTCTTTTTGTCTCTAGAAATGTGGGCACTTTCAAACCCTCATTGTCTGGTTTTTCTTCTGCCTCCAATTCCTGAGCACTTCCCTGCTCCCCTTCCTCTTCCAAAGATGAGGAATCCCTAACAAATTGAAAGCTGACTGCTCCTGCTACTGAATTCCCCATGCAGGAGGTACTAGGGCGTCTTCCAATTAGCTCAGTGTTCTTAGCAGCTATTCTAGCTGAACGCCGTCTGTGCTCTGTCTCTTTTCGTCTCTCTAGAAATGTGGGCACTTTCAAAACCTCATTGTCTGATTTTTTCTTCTGCCTCCAATTCTCGAGCACTTCCCTGCTCCCCTTCCTCTTCCGAAGATGAGGAATTCCTAACAAATTGAAAGGACCCTGCCATGCATTTCAGCAGGTCTACATTCAGATGTGCAACATGACTCCTCAATGCAAAGACTGTATAGCGCAATCAAAATGCAACTTTAATAATATATTTTATTTATATTCTGCTCTATCTCCCTGAGGGGTCTCAGAGCGGATTACAGAATATGGGTGCATATTATGGGATGTCTGTTTCGTGGTGCAACGTGTCATTTGCCCTTAGCCTATACACCAGACTTGGGCAAACTTTGGCCCTCCGGTTGTTTTGGATCAACTCCCACAATTCCTAACAGCCTACCGGCTGTTAGGAATTGTGGGAGTTGAAGTCCAAAACACCTGGAGGGCCAAAGTTTGCCCATGCTTGCTAAACAGCACAGGCCACATCAAGATATTGGGAAATCCAGTCTGACACTGGTATTGTCTCTAAGTAACAGCAATATCTCTCAACTCTCACCATAGTAGAAAAGCACTCTTTGATCTGGTTGCTTCAAGATGCAATGGAGCCATGCAACTGAGAGTTCTGTAGTCAAATAAATCCCTGCACATTGAAAAACGAGCATATTTGGTGGGTGGGCTTTCCTTGTGCAAAGATTTTTGTAGGAAATGGAGTGGATTGCAATACGTTTCATCCTGATTAGACGTTATTGTTTAGGTTGTCACACCTCAGGTTGAATTTGAAGTAAGATATTTCAACTGAACACCCAAAGAAATCTAAAAAGAAGCTTTGGGGAGTTGTTGTTTCTTTTTTCTTCACCTGCATCTCGATTCTGCATAAATTATCTTGATGAAGACTTGAATGGGAAAACTGAAAGCAGTTCTTTAACTCCTCAGATCTTGTATTGGGAGAACAGCCTGAGATAAATTTCCAAAAAACTCCTTGGTCTCAAACTTGGAGGAAGGTAGGATATAAATTAGATAGATGGGTAGATAGATTGGACTCTCCAGACCTGTGTTTGGTTATGTTATTCAGAGCCAAGCACCTGAGCACTTGCAAATTCTGGGCAGCTACGAGGTTTGAATGAAAAATAATGCCTCCACCTTCGTAACTCCTCAACAGATTGCAGTACTGGTATGCGGCAGGTACTGGCTTGTTCAGTAGACTCTCCTGTACAGTTCCATTTTGGTGGGAAGCCTTAGCATTGAACGGTTGTGTTGTTAAAGTGCGAAGTATGGTAACCTGTGCAGGCAGGGTTATTGTAGGTTTTTTCGGGCTATATGGCCATGGTCTAGAGGCATTCCCTCCTGACGTTTCGCCTGCATCTATGGCAAGATCCTCAGAGGTAGTGAGGTCTGTTGGAACTAGGAAAAGGGGTTTATATATCTGTGGAATGACCAGGGTGAGACAAAGGACTCTTGTCTGCTGGAGCTAGGTGTGAATGTTTCAACTGACCACCTTGATTAGCATTTGATTGCCTGACATTGCCTAGAGCAATCTTTTGTTGAGAGGTGATTAGATGTCCTTGTTAGTTTCTTCTCTGCTGTTTTGCTGGTTTAATTTTAGAGTTTTTTAATACTGGTAGCCAGATTTTGTTCATTTTCATGGTTTCCTCCTTTCTGTTGAAATTGTCCACATGCTTGTGGATTTCAATGGCTTCTCTGTGTAGTCAATGGCTTCTCTGTGTAGGACATCTAATCACCTCTCAACAAAAGTCTGGCTACCAGTATTCAAAACTCTAAAATTGCAATAGCACAACAACAGAGAGGAAACAAACAAGGACGTCTAATCACCTCTCAACAAAAGTTTGCTCGAAGCACTGTCAGGCCATTATATGCTAATCAAGGTGGTCAGTTGAAACATTCACACCTAGCTCCAGCAGACAAGAGCCCTTTGTCTCACCCTGGTCATTCCACAGATATATAAACCCTTTTCCTAGTTCCAACAGACCTCACTACCTCTGAGGATGCTTGCCATAGATGCAGGCGAAAGGTCAGGAGAGAATGCCTTTAGCACAGTGGTTGTCAACCTGGGGTCCCCAGATGTCTTTGGCCTTCAACTCCCAGAAATCCTAACAGCTGGCTGGGATTTCTGGAAGTTGTAGGCCAAAAACATCTGGGGACCCCAGGTTGAGAACTACTGCTTTAGAACATGGCCATCTAGCCCGAAAAAACCTACAACGACCCAGTGATTCCAGCCATGAAAGCCTTCGACAATACCTGTGCAGACAGTTGGTCAATGTGACTTAAGTAACGTGCAGTCATTGAATTCTTGACAGCAGAAGGTGTCACCCCAAAGGAGATTCTTCAGAGAATGCAAGCTATTTATGGTGATTGTGTTGATGTGAGTACTGTGCGTCGTTGGGCAAGTAAGTTTAAAGATGTTGAGGTGACACCTGCTGTCAAGAATTCAATGACTGCACATTGCTTAAGTCGCATTGACCGACCATCTGCGCAGAGTTCCATACTTTGCACTTTAACAACACAACCATTCAATGGTAAGGCTTCCCACCAAAATGGAGCTGTAGAGGAGAGTCTACTGAACAAGCCAGTACCTGCTGCATACTAGTACTGCCATCTGTTGAGGAGTAATGAAAGTGGAGGCATTATCCAACCCTTGTAACTCAGGAGCGGTTTGTGGAGGCAGACAGACAAATTTCCCTCCCATTTTCATGTGAAATTATATTATAGTTTTCCCAGCATAGCAGACTGACCCCTTTATTGCAGCACCTCAGGTGAGTGACTTCACACCTTACGTTAACCAACCAGAGGCCCTTTTGTACAATCATCTTATTGCAGAGTCAGTGACTCTTCCGTTTCGAAGGAGTCTCATAATTTGGCTCTGCTCTGCTTCATGCAAATGCCTTGGAGACAGAACTCTAAACTCTAAATAGGGATCAGTTCTGCTCCAAAATGAAAGGTTTGAGTCACCACAATTCTTGCTGTGTTGCTGAAACACATCCTGCAATATGGAGGCTCAGCTTAGTTGTTGTTGTTGAAAGTGCTCAATGTTTACTCGCACAGCTCCGTATCCAATTTTTCGTCCCTTTGAGGGGAGCCTTGGGGCTATACTACTTTTCTATAGTAATGTGTTTTATACATGAAATACAGAAGTAAATTGCTAGTAAAACCTTCATAAAGTACATGTGTACCTACTCACACAAGTATTGCATA